AGGGATGGGGGTCCTTATTCCCACTCCTCTCTAAAGCAGGCATTTAGCCTGAGGCACGCTCTGCCTTCAACTTACCTATCCCACCACTTTAATTCTTGACCATGCCAGCAATTGCATTACATAATCTAGCAGGCTGTTTTTTTAGATGACCTCCTCAGAGAAATCTCTGCCTTTCATTTGATGGGGGCGAACACGTTGCTGTCTACGGCCCCCAGGTCCGAAGGCTCGGCTTGGAGCTCTGGCAGAGACGAGTGCACCGCAGGACAGTACCATGCAGCCCTATTGGATTTCCATTTCAATAACACATGCGCCGAACAACGATTTCCCAAAGCCGGGGGTGGAAAACAAAATTGAAAGCCTAAACATATGCAGATGGCATTCAGAGCCTGGGATGCTCCTGCCAATTTCTGCAACTGATACACGCTCAAAATATTTACTTAGGAATTCTTAATTAAGTAAACCATTCGGTAGTGGTGTACTGTTTCAGATGTGTCATAGTGTCACCGCAAAATATCTTGGTGGTTCCTTCTAACAAAGAATCCATTATGGGGATTTTTTATCAGAGACAGTGGGGTAAGTTTTCGGTACAGTGCGCTGAGGTTTAAGCCATGCAGCTCCTCTGCTGTTAATGGGATTCGTGTGGCTAAATCCCTTCATTCCTTGCTGAAAATGAACCCCCTGCCCAACAGCAGCTTCAGGTGAATATTGAGTAGCAGGGTTAGGGGTGAGATCATGGTGACCCTATAGGCGCCTATTCAAAGAGCTTGCAGCAAGGCTGGCTCGGCATCTCGGGGGGAAATATGCACTGTGCTGCTCTGCAGCCAGGAATACAAATGAGTGAGGGTGTCGGAGGAGAAGGTGTAGCTCCCAAAGCTACTCCTGGCCTGCAGTAAAATGTTATTTGCCCAGGGAGCAAGGATTGCTAAGAAGAATTTTTAGGGCAGATTTTTTTTTTAAAAAAAAAATCAAAAGTTTAAGATCAACTTGGTTAAGTGCTTCATCTGTATGAAATGTGTTGTTGGTTTAATCTCTCTATTTTACATCTTCTTTTATTAAATATTTTTTGGAACTGAATTTTAAGCTTGTTGGAGACATCTTGGTACATATCTGTGCCTGTACAGGAGTTTGGGCAGAACTCTGAAGACTGGTTAGTTACTGTTGTTTATCTATACATAGACAGTTCTGCTTCATAATTTTGTCAAAATTCAGATTCTTCTAACAACAGTAAAACTTAGAATTCTCCTCACGTAGCGCATGTGTTTATACAACTGTCCATTATAAAGATTTACTTTATATTTGTATATTTTCCACTTGTGCAAAGACTCTGAGACCCTCTATAAACTACAGCTCAAGTGACAGCCTTTCTATATGTGAAATTCATCTGAATTTGCAAGAACATAATAACATTCAAAATCAATGAAATGACGAATGTGCTCAAGCTAACCAAATGCCTACATTTGCAAATATAAAATAGAGACTCAAGAAAGCAAATAATAAATGAGGAGTACATTTATCTTCTGACAAGCATTACTACATTCAATTTTACGTTCTTAAACTCACATGATTTTAGGCCTCAGTGTTTAATTTCTGAAGTGTTTGCAAAGACATTTACTTTTATGAATTGCTTGGAATATATAATAATTTTCATGGTTGTGATCTTTCAATTTTTCCACATAACTTTGTGAAAAGGAAAGCTGCAGTTGTTTAGATGCTGGAGAGAAGACACAACCATAATAGGATATACATTTTGAGGGAGAATTTTCATTTTTTGCAACAGTAGTCATCTGTCTTTGCGTAATTAAACAAGCATTATTTCAGAAAATAAGCTGAAACTTGTCTTCCACTGCCATGAACTTTTGCTTGCTATGACTGCAGTCACAGTTATTTTTTCAAAGAATGAAAAACTTGATGTTTCAGGATTCTGATGCAGAAACCAGGCCTTCCAAAACATCACTCCTCATGTTTAATTTGTTGGAAGTTTGAACTGCAAGGTCCTATCTAAGCCCAGATCAGTGTTTTTTTTTTTTTTTAATTTGGATGTAACTCTGTTTATAACTATTGCTCAATTCCAGTGCTGGTGTTTCCCTTGGATTAATGACTAAGTGATGAAGAAAGGTGAAGACTCTCCATATGCCAGCCACTACCATTAATTGCTTAGGAAATGTGACATTATTCCAAAAATACTGTTTAGTTGGATAACCCGTGTGGATGATGTTTAATTGGATGACACATGTGGATGACCCAACATAAAACTCTGAAGCATGTGCGGGCTGTCGTGGTGCAGGATGGTTACAATTACCGTAAACTGCACCAGAAATCTTAACAAAATGCTGCAGTCAGGATTTTCTTGTGATAAGAATCAAGGAAGTTTGCACCGCAGAGAAAAATTAGATGGGAGAAAATGTCAAAATGTGGCATGGGGATCTGCCTTTTGACAGTTATAAAGTGAAACATTCTCCAACTAGTAAAAAAAAGTAGCCTTCAACCTGCCAAGGGGCAGGAGCACGGCGCAACCCTCTTGAATATGTGACAGATGCACAAACTGAGGGACGCCGCAAGAAAGAGTGGAGAGGAAGCTTGAAATGCTGTTGGGTGCATTTCTTTAATATAAATAAAGTTTTCCAAAACCTCAGTTTCATGATTCAGCATTTCTTTTGGCACTGAAATTATAGTAACAATTTAAAAGTAGGCTAAACAAGTCTGAGGGAATATGCTGGTAAGTTCAGGCCAGAGAGGGGGAAGTCCCTGGAAGTAATAACAAAAAAACTAAGACCCCCCTCCACCCCCAATAATTGCAGTTTAATTCTTTTAATGAGGAATGTCTTGAAGCACTTTACAAACACATAATAATTACCATATCCTCACAATATCTTCTGAAGCAGATATGATCATGATTATTTTCTGGATGAATAAACTGACCTGCTGAATTAAAATACTTTGGCCAAGGCCTGCTCCAAAAACAATGGGAGACCAAAGAATATACTCATTAACCTAATCATGAGACAGTAGCAACGTGTATGAAGGAAGCAACTAAACTTAAAATTATACATGGGGTAGATACTGTAGCCAACTCTTTCTTGCTTTCCTTTGTTTTGAAAGTCCTAAGTTTTTACTGCTCAACTTGAGGTAATAGTTAGTGGAAACTAACTCAGCACTTTTAAAAAAAAATGATGTCAGAAAGTATCTCAGAGCACTTTTTAAAAATTAAAATATTCCTATCATATACAAATAATTTTTATATAGTTTTTATCAGTAAGTCGGTTGTATGGCCTCAGTAAGTCAATGACCATTGGGCAGCCAGGGGACCAGAACTGTGTGTCTTGTGCATGTGTGTCAAGCACCAGCTTAAATTTTGAATGCTTGTGCACATCTGTTTCTTAGGACCCAACCCTGGATTCCTTCAGGATTAGGTTTTCCTAGAAGGGTTAGTGTCTGAAGCAGCTCTTGCTGCATGGGAAGTAGGTTGCTGGACGGGAAGGTCTTCCAGGATGCTTGGGCACCTGCTCTGTCCCAGAGAACTGGGCAAAGCCGGGTGGAGGGGATGGGTAAGGATGGGGTACAGCCTGAGAGGCAGCCGGAGAACTGCTGCATATGCCGAGCCGGGGAAGTGCTGCTGCCAGGGAGCCCTGGCTGTTGCTCTGCTCTGAA